CGACGGGAAGTGGCAACACAAACAGCGTATGACATCGGAGCCGCACAACTCCTCCTCTGGGGGTCGGCGGAACCACACGCTGTACTCTCTTACATTATTGCTAGAACCACGCGCGCGCGCTTCGCGCGCGCGCGCAAAGGTTCCAGCAAGCTCCAGCCCATGACAGTCGCACAGCTGCGTGCAGATGCGCACGCACACATGCAACATCAGTGCCACCCACATATGGCTCGAACATGGGACGCCGAAGCATGCATGAAGAACGTGGGCCGAGCAGCGACGATTCCAGACAAGGCGCTGTACGACGATCCCAAGGGCGTCCCAAGGGGGGCCCAGGAGAACTCCAAAGGGCAGTCCAAGAAGCTGCCAAGAGCGCCCAGAGTGGGCCCCCAAGGAGGCCCCAAGCGAGGCTCGAAGAGGGCCCAGCGGCAGGCCCAGCGGCAGGCCCAGCGGCAGGCCCAGCGGCGCTGGCGGTGGCCAGCAGGGAAGCCGGCGGTGGCGCGGGCGTGCGCGACGCGCGCGAGCGCACGCGGGATGCACGACGCATCTTCCTACCTCCTCCTACCTTCGCCTGCTCCTCCCTCGCCACCCCGTCCATCTCGGCACACCCCTGACATGGATCGTGAGTAAGGAGCGTCTTGAGTACCTCTTGAAGCCGCTGACGTGGATCGTGAGTTGAGGGCCTCTTGAAGCGCTTCGTGGAACACCGTGGAGGACGTAAACGCGAGACTCCGAAGGGCCTCGTGGGGGCTTTTTGGGGTCCCTCGGGGGCCTCGCAGGGACTTCCCGGGGATAGGGAGAGAGGGCTGCGCCCTGCGCTACACGCAGCTGCATATAGGGTTGGGCCCTGCCCCAGGCTGTGTTGTCTTTCGCTTGCTGCACGCATATATAAACACACACACAAGCACACACAAGCACACACACACACACACACACACACAACGTAAACACACACACACACAGACACACACGCACACACACGCACACACACATGTACACACACGTATACACATATATAAACACACATAAACACATGTATACACACACCCGCGCGCGCCTTCCCACACACGTAGATAATACTTGCCTCTCTGGGCCGTCGGCGACTCCTGCAAACCGTCTTCGGGGCGATCCGGGGCCTAGCGGAGTCGCCTGGACGGCGGTGTGGGGCCGATTCGGGGCATGTGCCTGCGTTGTGGGCCAGAAGCGTCATGGACGTATGATGGGGTTTCTTTGCCAATATCTCGGAGCCCGGTTGGGGGCCTCTCGAGGATATCCTGGGAGCTTCCCGGGGGCCTCTTGGGGGCTTCTTGGGGGCCTCTTGGGTGCCTCTTGAGGTGCCTCGGAGGCCTCTTGGCGACCTCCGGGGCGATCTTGGCGCAAAAGGCTCGAAATTGCAGCTCGGGTTCCCCTCGTGGGCCCATGTTTGGGCCCTTCTGGGCCCCTCTTGGGCCGTCTTCGGGGCTTCTCTTGGGCTGTCGAGGGGGCCGTTGGTGAGCGGGGGGGCAATTTGGGAGACCTCTTGGCCTCAGCCGGAGGCGGGACACTGGCGGGACACCGCGCTCCACAGACCCCCGGTCATGAATCATTTGGTCTGGCCGCGCCTCAGCCGGAGAAGACTCTCTTCTCGCCCGCCCACGCAGCTTCGCCTCGCCCGCACGCACGGCACGCACGAACACGAAACCGAAACCGATTTCCCGGTACGGGGGCTCTCCGTTCCATTTCGATCTCACCCCCCAACCTCCGATATCTATACATATATATATATATATATATATATAAACAAGACTGCAGTGGCGCTGTGGCGCTTCGCGCCATGCACCTTGGTCCTTGAAGTTTGGCACGCAGGCGGGATAGCAGGAAGGTCAAGCCGACAAATTAGCGATAACTCCTTGTTGCCTTTTCCGGCATCGCCGCTATAATAATGTTATTCGTTGTCCTTCCTCCATGTTTTTTTTTTTCTCCTCATTTTCGCCATACCCTGCGCATTCTCCCCATGGGGGCTCCTCCTTGGAAAGCCTCTGGGGGCCTCACAAAAGTTGTTTCAGGCTTTCTTAAGGCCTTCTGGAGGCCTCCCGGGTGTATTCTGGGGGCCTCTGGGGGCTTCCTCGGGCCACCCTGCCTCCAACCTCGGTCTCCCTGAACGACCGTGTCACGATTTGGAATGCTTCGGAGGGTGTCTTGGGGCCATCTTGGGCCGCCATGGGGCTCTCTGAGGGCCATCTTGGACCCGTGTTGTGCCGTTTTGGGGCTCTCTTGGACTACCTGGAAGTCCTTTCGGATGGTTGTGGGGCGATTTGGGAGCCTCCCAGGCAGCTTCGGACGCCCAGAAGACCGCCGTCTTGGAGCGTCGGGAAGCTGAAAAGAGGAGAACCCCCAAATTCACCAAAAACCAACAGAAAATCAAGGATTTGTGCCTCTTGGGGCCTTCTTGGGAGTGCTCTTGGAGGCCTCTTTGGGGCCGTCCTGGAGGCCTCTTGGGCCATCTTGTGGTCACGTCGGTCACTCTTGGAGCGCTCTTGCGCTGTCTTGGGGGTCTCTGGGACATCTCCGATGACCCCCTGATGGCCCTAGGCGTGCTGGGAAGGCTTGGCAAAACGCCCTGCGAGGCCCGGGGGGCCGCTTCGAGGCCTGCCGGAGGGTACCAAAGCCCCAGATCCCGGGAGTTCATTTTTTTTTTGGGGGGGGTCCCCCCCGCCCGGGCTTGTAAATATAGGAAGAGGAATCTCTCTCTCTCTCTCTCTCTCTCTCTATATATATATGTATATATATATATATATGTATGTATGTATGTATGTATATATGTATATATATATATATATATATATATATATACACCCCCTGACCCCGCCTGGAGTCGCGCCACATCGGCGGAAAATATGCGATATCGGCCTCTGGGGCCTCCTGGGGGTCCAGGAGGAGGGCCTCAGGACAGCTCAATGCAGCTCCCTGACAGCCCAAGACGGCCCCAAGACGGCCCAAGATGGCCCCAACAGGGCCCAAGAGGCTCCCAAGACGACCCCGGACGGCCACGAGGAGGCTCTCAAGAGCACCTCCAGAAGGCAAAAACAACGATATCCCGATGGGTTTTGCAACATTTTAGCGCTCTCGCCTTTTAAGATTCTCGGGGGTCCATGACGGCCCAAGAAGCCTCCAATATGGCCCCGAGACAATCCCAGAAACCCCCAAGAGGGCCCCAAAATGGCCCAAGCGGTCCCCGAGAGAGCCACAAGACAGCCCCGAGATGCTCAAGACGGCCCTCCGAAGGGGCCAGACGGCGCAAGAGCGCCCCAGACGGCCCAAGATGCCTCCGCGATGCCCCAAAGAAGCTGCCAAACGGCCCAAAGAAACCACCGAGAGGCCCGCGGGATTGTGTACGAGTTGTTGCTATGCTCATCGGAATTTGAATTTGGCGTCGCCTTGTGCTGACACGCGGTGGATGCTCATTGCCCTCGTGGACGTTCGCACGCTCGTTCCGGCGCTGACACCAGGGGTGGGGCGCATCCGCCCCCCGTGGCGCTGGCAGCGCCCTGGGGCGGGCACAACGGCACAGCTTAACCTCTCGGCACATGAGCAGGGCAAACCACCCAACGCTCAGTCTTAACGTGCTCTGGACGTACACCCCGCGAACCGAGAGGAATACACCGATTCGTAATTTTGCAAGTTCGTTTCCCAGTGGGGGCCGGCCCGCCGTGATTCGGGTCTCATATATTTCCCAAGCATCCTGTGGTGTCGGGTCCTCGTTTTGAAGAGACGGTCCCCCCGTTCCTCTCCTCTCCTCCTCCCCCTCCTCCCTCCCCTTCCTCCTCTGATCCCTGCCCCTGCCCTCCGAACCAGTCAACCATTTTGCCACACCCCTCGCACTTTTCGTGGCCCCATAGGGGGCCCCATCGAAGACCCAAATGCAACCGTTCGCATGCGGCCACCGCACCCATTTTGGCACGCCCCTTCGTGGCCCCACAGGGGGCCCCACCGAAGGCCCAAATGCCAGCGTTCGCATCCGCCCACCGCGCCCATCTTGGCACGCCCCTCACACGTTTCGTGGCCCCATAGGGAGCCCCACCGAAGGCCCAAATGAGACCGCTCGCATGCGGCCACCGCACCCATTTTGGCACAACCCTCCAACGTTTCGTGGCTCCACAGGGAGCCCAACCGACGGCCCAAATGCCAGCGTTCGCATGCGCCCACCGCGCCCATTTTGGCACACCCCTCACACGCTTCGTGGCCCCATAGGGGGCCCCACCGAAGGCCCAAATGCCAGCGTTCGCATGTGGCCACCGCACCCATTCTGGCACGCCCCTCACACGTTTCGTGGCCCGCGCCAATTTTGGCCCACCCCTCCCGCGTTTCGGGGCCCCATACGGAGCCCCACCGAAAGCCCAAATGAGACCGTTCGCATGCGCCCACCGCGCCCCTTTTGGCACACCCCTCACACGCTTCGTGGCCCCATAAGGAGCGCCACCGAAGGCCCACATGCCTGCGTTCGCATGCGCCCACCGCGCCCATTTTGGCACACCCCTCCCGCGCTTCGGGGCCCCATACGGAGCCCCACCGAAAGCCCAAACGAGACCGCTCGCATGCGCCAACCGCACCCATTTTGGCACACCCATCCCACGCTTCGTGGCCCCATAAGAGGCCCCACCGAAGGTCCAAATGCCAGCGTTCACATGCGGCCAGCGCACCCATTTTGACACGCCCCTCGCACGTTTCGTGGCCCGCGCCAATTTTGGCCCACCCCTCCCGCGTTCCATAGGGGGCCCATGTGGCTCCATAGGGGGCTCCATAGGGGGCCCAATGTGGCTCCATAGGGGGCCCAACGGAGGCCCAAATGCCAGCGTTCGCATCCGCCCACCGCGCCCATCTTGGCACGCCCCTCACACGATTCGTGGCCCCATTGGGGGCCCCAGCGAAAGCCCAAATGCCAGCGTTCGCATGCGGCCATCGCGCCCATTTGGGCACACCCCTCACACGCTTCGCGGCCTCATAGGGAGCCCCACCGAATGTGGTGCATACACCGGCTGTACCCACAACTGCATATGGTTGGGTTCTTCGACAGGCTAATTTCGCGCTCCCACGGATGACCGCACACGCGGTTCCAACAGGTTGAATGCTGGAGCTGATCAAGCCTGGCAAGAGACGGGGAAGCGTGCCGACCGGAAAACTGGCAGCACGGCCCAAGGGGAAATATTAACACGACGGCACTGGCACCGACATCTCAGGAGGTTACGTAACATTAAACCAGCCGAGGTGTGGGTCAGAAAAAAGCGGCCGGGTGAACACCCTCGGGAGGGAGGTCGGCGGGGAGCGAGAGAACAGAAGCTCAAATCAGCGCGAGGGAGCCATGCTCGGCGCCCAATCGTTTCCGATCGGCGCGGAGGAGCCAAACTCGGCGCGAAGAGGCCTACAGTCAGCGCGACATATCGATTTAGACCAGTCCGCTCTCAAGCCTGATCGGCGCGCCCTACGACTTAAATTCAGAACGAACTTGTTGATAAATATTGAACTTGCGCGGCGGTAGCCACCTTGGCCTGAAGGAAGGCGAGTTGAGACAACGGCAGCTCAAATCCGTCACCGGATCCCTCCCGGGGTCCAACTCATTGTGCGAGTTGCGTCCAACCGTGGCGACGAGGGCCCCCCGAAGGACAACTACTGTTGCCCCCGGGCGAAGTTGCAAAAAAGCTGCAACATCGCGAACAATCACGATCGGAGCCCTAGAGTAAATCTTTCTGCGGCATTTTTCGAGTTGGATCGATCTGTGATGATTTCGGGCCCCGAAAGTGGGCGAAAACGCCCGGTGACCGGTGTGAAAAAGCTGCAACGCCAGGATCTCAAGGGTTGTCTCTACTCCCCCTTCTCTGAGATACCGTACCTCCTCCTCCTCCTCCTCCGCCTCCGCCTCCTCCTCCCCTTCCTCCTCCTCCTCCTCCTCCTTCTCCTTTCATTCTCCTTATAAGCAACTGCTCCCTGTCGCACCCTGAAGCCAATTTTTGGGGCGGGCTGGGCGTTTCGCCTGAGACTTCCAGCATTTATGGTTCTGAAGCTTAAAAAGTGACAACCATCTCACAGATGGAGGGCGGGTCGTTTTCAATATGTGGCTCTCGCCTTAGCGCCGCGCACATTAAAAAATACAAGAGTTTAGCGGATTGAGGGCTGATCGTTTTCACAATGTGGCTCTCGCCTTAGCGCAGCGCACATTCGTTAAAACAAATTGCAAACGTTTCACGGATTGAAGGCAGGTGGTTTTCAACATGTGGCTCTCGCTTTAGCGCCGCGCGAATTCGTTTAAACAAGTTGCACGAGCTTCAAGAATGGAGGGCGGGCCGATTTCAAAATGTGGCTCTCGCCTTAGCGCCGCGCACATTCGTTTTAAACATGTGCAACAGTCTCACGGATTGAAGACAGTTCCATTTCAAAATGTGGCTCTCGCCCTACCGCCGCGCACATTCGCTTTGAATATGTGCAAGAGTTTCACGGATTGAGGGCGGTTTCTTTTTACAATGTGGCTCTCGTGTTAGCGCCGCGCACATTCGTTTAAACAGTTGCAAGAGTTTCACGGGTTTCCATTATCAACGTACAAGAAATGGTGTTTTGGACGGACTCCGAATTATGTGGGTGCAACAATTATGTTGATTCGCTGTGTTGAGGTCCCAGACATGGCGTTCTGGAACGATTCTGGGTCGTCAAGACGCAGCAGTCAGGTTGATGCATGGCGTTGAAATCCGTGGCATGCTTCAGGATCTTCAAACGGTTGTCTTCCAACGAGGCAGTTCCATCAATGGAAATGAAACGTTGTAGGAGCCTGTGAAGAGGGAGCTTGGAGGGAGGATTAACTCCAGCATCGCTGATGACTCTTGGGCTTACACTGGTCCTCCTCCTCCTCCTCCTCCTCCTCCTCCTCGTCCTCCTCGTCCTCCTCGTCCTCCTCCTCCTCCTCCTCCTCCTCCTCCTCCTCCTCCTCCAATTCCACAATTAACAATATGAACGCTACTCTCCTCTCTCCCCTGGCTGCGTCCGGGGATTGTTCGGCCCTCCTCCGCGTACTTTTTTAACACGCAGGACTCCCGAGAGTTGGGTTTTCGCTTGGTTTGTTTCCAAAATCCTGCTTTCGGTGGAGCGCTGGCCTCATTTTCGGGCTACCGCTCGTTCCGAATCGTGCTCCCGCTGCAACGCTGGCCTCATTTCCGCGCTTCCGCTCGTTCCGAATCGTGCTCCCGCTCTAGCGCTGGCGTCATTATTTCCAGCGCTATACCACGGCATGTCTTTCGGTCCTTCCAAATACGGCCCCAGAAATTAGAAAAGACCACCCCGAAACAAAAACATTCGGTGTCGGTTCGTTGAGATTTGTTGGGTCGCGGAAGCCCCCTCCCCCCACTTTGGGGCGTCGCCACGCCATGCTATGTGAGGCTGCGCGTCCTCATTTCCGCGCTTCCGCGTTTGGGTTTTTGTTCAAAATGCTGCTCTCGCTGAAGCGCTGGCCTCATTTTCGGGCTACCGATCGTTCCGAATCATGCTCTCGCTGCAGCGCTGGCCTCATTTCCGCGCTTCCGCTCGTTCCGAATCGTGCTCCCGCTGCAACGCTGGCGTCATTATTTCCAGCGTCATGCCACGGCGTGGTTTTCGGTCCTTCCAAGTGGCCCCACAATCTAAAACATTGCCCTCCGAACAAACCATCGGAAGTGATTACACATTCGGTGTCGATTCGTTGATTTTTGAGGCCGCCCACACTTTGGGGCGTCGCCACGCCATGATATATCATGTTACGCCTTAGTCTTCAACACCATGCTATTTCATGCAATGCTATGCCATGCTACGAAATCCGATTGTGCGAATAGAGAGGAGATCTACGCCATGGAAAGGGATGGGAGGGAGGGGTAGGACGTCAGATTTGACGCGAGCGCACCTAGCTTGTCCTCCTCCTCCTCCTCCTCCTCCTCCTCCTCCTCCTCCTCCTCCCCCTCCTCCCCCTCCTCCTCCCCCTCCTCCTCCTCCCTCCCCCGCCCCCTTCGAGAGGGTCGGGGTCAGATCTCGACGCCGAGGCTGGCCGCCGCGTGCCCCCTGCGGGCTGCCTCCCGCGCTCGGCCGGCCTCAGCGGCCAATCGAGGCGCCGAGGGAGGCGAGGGCATAGTCCCACGGGTTCGGGTCCGCGGGCCTGTCCCACACCTGGAGAAGAAAGCCAGGACGAGGACAAGTTCGGACGAGGATGCACTCGGGCGGGTGGTAACAAGGGGTGGAGACAAGGGCCCTAAAGGAACCCTTTAAGACCCCATTTCGGAGCCAGCACTGGCCCACAAGGGGCCCGAAAGGGTTCCTTCAGGGCCCTTCTCTTCACCCCCCCCACTTGAGTTCCCCCCCGGTGCCACCCGCCCGAGATGACTAGAAGATCTCCGAGATCCGGCGGCTCTGGGGGGATTCTCGGGCGCCGCGGCCTTCTCGGAACGCTGCGAGAGCGCGTCGGGACGCGCTGAGAGCGTTCCGGCATGCCCTGGAACGGGTTCGCCGGGGCCCCGGCCCCGCTCCGCACCTGGCGCCACGAGCGGCGAACGCATCCCCCGACATGGCGCCCCTGGACGGCCCCCGGAGGCCCCCCCCAGACGGCCCCAGGAGGCGCCCCACGGGCCGGGGTCCGCGGGCCTGCCCCGTGCCTCAGAGGAGAGAGAGCGCTGTGCTTTACGCACAGCTTCTGGCCAGGCCCATCCTGGGCCCAGGAGCGGTGCGTACGCCTTCGTGGCTTGGCCAGGGAGGCATATGCACCGATCCTGGACCCAGGATGGGCCTGGCCAGGGTCGGCACGTGTGTGTGTGTGCATAGTCCTCCTCGCCCGAACACCTGGCGCCACGAACGGCGAACATAGTGGACTTTCGTGTCGTCCGCTTCCGTGTCGTCCGCTTTGGTTCCGTCCGCTTTCGTGTCGTCCACTTTCGTTTCGTCCTCTTTCGATTCGTCCGCGTTCGTTTCGTCCTCGTTCGTTCCGTCCGCTTTCGCCCCACACCTTGCTTCACGAGTGGCGAAAGTGCCCGTCAAAAGCGCTAAGAGGTCTCCGACATGGCCCTGAGAGGGCCCAAGAGGCCCTCAAGAGCCTCCAAGGACGCCCAAGGCGGGGCCTCCAGGACGGCCCTGGAGCGCCTCAAGAAGGCCGCAAGTCGCCCCAGAGAGGCCCTCAAGGCGACTTCCGACATATCCGGGTTCGCGCCTTCGCGGTCTGGATTCCAGGGCGCGATCCCGCGGTCGCGCGGATAATGACGCTCCGCGCGGGGAATCCCAACAAAAAGGCCCCGTGTCCGCAGGGTCGTAGCCGAGGGGCCCAGCCCGCGAAGCCGCGGATACGGATACGTCTTCGCCCGCGAATCAAAACAAGGACAACCGTTGCCGCCACTATACCAGGGACCGCAAGCGGAAGAGCCAGGGGCCCCCCCTGGTGTGGTCCCCCTCTTTCGCTCGAGACGTCCCTGATCCACAGCTCGGGGAGGGATCGTGGGCCTCCTCGCTGGAGGTGGCTCCCCTGGTGGCGGGAAGTGGTGGTGGTGTGGCTTCTCCTTCCCCCGACACCCTTTTCGCCGACTGGCCACGGCAGGGGAGCTTTGCTCCTCCCAGACATGCAGCGTCTTGAACATCAACGCAGCGGTTTTTCTTGATTTTCGGCCTGGGGGCCTTGCCGCGGCCCCCGGGATCGTCAAAAAGCAACTCAGGATGAGAAACCAGTCCCGGAGAACGGGTCGGGACTTCCGGGGACCCCGTACCGAAAAACCAGGACATCGCATGTCTGGGCTCACCTCTCCCTCCGGGAGCGTCTCTCGTGCCGACGATGCCTCGGGGCCGACGAGGGGACCCTGAGAGCCGACGTTGCGAAAAAATGCAGCATGTCGAACAATCACCACTGGAGACCAAAACCTCATCTTTCTGCGGCCTCCTTCGAGCCAGATCGACCCGTGATGGCTCCAAGGCCCGAGAACTGGTGAACACGCCCGGTGTGGAAGCATTGCCACGCCCGGACCTCAATCTGGTTTTCGAGGTATCGCTCTGGCCTCCCGCGGCCCGCGGCCGTTCGGGACGATCTGGGCACCCCAGGAACGCTCTCGGCCAGGCGCAGCTGCTGGAGAGCCTCCAGGAGCCAATGAAAACGTCCGATAACCCCGTCTCAACGCCCAGATATGGGCCTCCCAAATAAGGACCGGGAAAATGGGGTCGGAGGATCGCGCCGCATCGCCGAAGAATCGCGGATGTATGGGCGATGTCGGCGGTGCATCGGCGACGCTGGCGTGGAGAAATTCAGGCTCCACATCGAACCACATCTCCGCTCCATCGGCGATGCTGCGCTATCCTCCGAACCCATCTACTCGGACCCCGTTTTGGCGACGATCAAAAACGAGTCTTACGCGAGAGGACGTAGCGACCTTACGCGGTGGCCTACGCGGTGGCTTACGCGGGCCGCTGGCGTGGCACGCCACATTGGAGACGAAGGCGCTTACGCGCGAGCTTACGCGGGAAGCTTGCGCGCTGATGTCGGCGCAGACGACCCCGCCGTTTTGCGTCGCTAAGTGGGGAGGCCTAGACCAAAGCAGGGGCCACAGCTCTCCCCGTTGTGGCCCGGCCTGCCTCCTTCTCCTCTGGGGCCTCGCTCTCCCCCTCGTGCCGCAGGCCCTGCACCGACTTCGGATCCGCCGTACTGGGCGATTTCGTGAGCACGTCGGGCGAAAAGTTCCCGCCCTGCAGTCGTCGAGTCGTCGCGCTACCACAAAGAACGCCAGATCAGGAACGAAGGGGCTTTTCTGGTCACGGCGAGCCTAGGTCACGAAGAGGTTCCCCGACCCAGACACCGAGACCTAAGGAACCGCCCGAAAAATCAGAGGCCCTCTTGAACCCAACAAAATCCTTGCTTCAGCGTCTTGACTGCACTTTTCAGGCTCCGTTGGTGTTGACCTCCGCCTTACTTACTTTGCCGTCGCTGGTTCCGCCATTATCCTAGCTCCTATCGGAAGCATCCACCCTTCACTTTTGCGAAACGGACATATCCGCCCTGCCTTGTTCGCATTGTTTGGAGTGCATGTCTGACACAATCCGAGCCATGCGATGTCCTGAATGCTTCAGGACAGGGTCTCCAGCCTGAGTCTTTGTTGAAGGTCCTGGGGCCTGGTAAAAGCCCCCAGAGACCGACAACTACGAAAATCATCCGTCCCTGATGTTGTCCCAAAAAACATTGCACGTCTCGGTTTCCGGCGCATTTGTAAGTCGTAAGTCGGAGGACGAGGACCGACCACAACGATGTTTCAAACGAAATGGCCATGAAAACAAGAGTAGAAACGAAGCCCAACTATTAAAACGAACGTTTAAAGTGGAACAGGCGCCTAACGAAAACGAACCACGAAACGAGGCGCTCCACAGAAGCACGAACCACGAACCGAAACAAGAGCGAACCACAAAACGGGCACCCAAACCGAGGCCCAAACCAAGCCAAACAGCGTTGTGGTCGCTCCTCGGCGGGCGATCCGCCAAAGTGCGGCGGATCCGAACCCACCGCCTGGGCTGCCCGGCGCCCGCCTGGGGCCCTGCGCCCTCGAGCCGGGACAGCCTGGCCAGGGCGTCGGGCGTCGCGCTGACGAGGCTGCCCGCGCCCTCGGCGCTGAAGCTGCCGCCGAGCCGGATGTCCTGGGGCGGAGGCCCGTGAGGGGGGATTCTCAGCCTCCTCCCCGACGAACGATCGCTGCCGGAACCCGGAGATAACGACGACTGCGAGGACCGAGGGTAGAAGAGCGAACGACCCTGACATCCGGGCGTTGCAGTTCTTCCGCGCCAGGCGTTTTCGCCCAGCTTCGGGCCCCGCGGGGCCATCACAGGTCGATGCGGCTTTGAGCATTCAACAGACAGACGAAGTTTATAGGGTTACCGTCTTGATGTTTGGTGCAACGTCGCATCTCCGGGGAAACAGAGAGTCTGCCGTTGCCCCATTGGTGGCCATAGTAGGGCGGCAGTCGCGCTGAGGGCATGCCAGCCGACGGTCGAGGACCAAGGACCGAGGATCGAGGATCGAGGTTCGAGGACCGCGGACGGAGGACCGAGGATCCAGGCCCGAGGACCGAGGACCGAGGATGAGGTTCGAGGATCGAGGACCGAGGATCGAGGACCGCGGATCGAGGATCGAGAGTCGAAGACCGAGAGGATCGAGGACCGAAGACCGAGGATCGAGCACGGAGGACCGAGGATAGAGGATCGAGGCCGCCAAGTCGTGCGTCCTGCGAGGAGGCCCCGATCATCACCTGGAACGTGGCCAGCGGCGGCGGCATCCTCCAGCCGTGCACGCCCACGTCCCACGTGGACAAGTCGCGCTCGGTGAGCTCCAGTACGACCTCGTGGGACTCATCGGGCCGCAGGACCGGCGTCTTGGCAAAGCCCCTCAGGACTCGCCTCTCGAGGAACAAGCAACGGCGTAGACATATCGTAGTGAGGGGGCCGAACGGTCATTCTCCGTACATGGGCGCGTAGCTGAAGTGGTGTTCCGCGGTGCAGATTGCTGCTGCGTTGTTGGTTTTGTTGGCGCTGCTGCTGTTGCTGTTGCTGTTGCTGTTGCTGTTGCTGTTGCTGTTGCTGTTGCTGTTGCTTCTGCTGCTGCTGTTGCTGTTGTCGTGTTCTCATTGATATAAAAACTAGAACCACGCGCGCGCTTCGCGCGCGCTTAGGTTCTGTCGAGTCACAGACCCAGGAATCGTTGCGAGAAGAAATTGGTGACGCGAAGCGTCTTGGGGGCGTCCTTGGACGTCTGGGGTCTCCTGGGGCCTCTTGAGGGGCCTCCTGATGGCCTCCTGGCGGCCTCTTGGGGCGGAAGGCTCGAGCTTGCGGTTCGTGGTCCCCCTCTGGGCCCCCTCTTGGGCCCGTCTTGGGGCCCTCTTGGGCCATCTTGGGCGCCTCTTGGGCCGTCTTGGGGCCCTCTTGGGCTGTCCTGGGGCCCTCTTGGAAGCTTCTTGGGCCGTCTTGGGGCGGTCTTGGGCGCCTCTTGGGCCGTCCTGTAACGTCGGAAAACCCAAAAGACAACTTTGTTGAAAATGTACGTTTTACGAAGGGAATGGGCCAATTTTTGCGTCTAGGGGCCCTCTTGGGACGCATGTTGGAGGCTTCTTGGGGCCTCTTGGGGGCGTCCTTGGACGTCTGGGGTCTCCTGGGGCCTCTTGAGGGGCCTCCTGGGGGCCTCCTGGCGGCCTCTTGGGGCGGAAGGCTCGAGCTTGCGGTTCGTGGTCCCCCTCTGGGCCCCCTCTTGGGCCCGTCTTGGGGCCCTCTTGGGCCATCTTGGGCGCCTCTTGGGCCGTCTTGGGGCCCTCTTGGGCTGTCCTGGGGCCCTCTGGGAAACTTCTTGGGCGGTCTTGGGGCGGTCTTGGGCGCCTCTTGGGCCGTCCTGTAACGTCGGAAAGCCCAAAAGGCGACTTTGTTAAAAATGTACGTTTTACGAAGGGAATGGGCCAATTCTTGCGTCTAGGGGCCCTCTTGGGACGCATGTTGGAGGCTTCTTGGAGCCTCTTGGGGGCGTCCTTGGACGTCTGGGGTCTCCTGGGGCCTCTTGAGGGGCCTCCTGGGGGCCTCCTGGCGGCCTCTTGGGGCGGAAGGCTCGAGCTTGCGGTTCGTGGTCCCCCTCTGGGCCCCCTCTTGGGCCCGTCTTGGGGCCCTCTTGGGCCATCTTGGGCGCCTCTTGGGCCGTCTTGGGGCCCTCTTGGGCTGTCCTGGGGCCCTCTTGGAAGCTTCTTGGGCCGTCTTGGGGCGGTCTTGGGCGCCTCTTGGGCCGTCCTGTAACGTCGGAAAGCCCAAAAGACAACTTTGTTGAAAATGTACGTTTTACGAAGGGAATGGGCCAATTTTTGCGTCTAGGGGCCCTCTTGGGACGCATGTTGGAGGCTTCTTGGGGCCTCTTGGGGGCCTCCTTGGACGTCTGGAGGCCATCTTCAGCATCTCGGAGCCCTCTTGGAGGCCTCTTGGAAGTTTCTTGGGCCGTCTTGGGCGCTTCTTGGGCCGTCTTGTCTGACTGGGGAGGCCTCCGGCAAGCCCCGACGAGCCTCCGGGCCCCCCGGGGCGCACATTTGTGGTAGAGGTCCCGGCCCCGGGCCCCCGGACCTGGTGCGCCGTTATATGTATACAAGGTGCTCCCCCTCCAGTGCACCTGGTGTTTTTCAATTGAAGTGCCCCACCCGGGGCTCGCACCCTGTCTTTTAACATGACAAGTCTTGGGCCTCAGATTGACCCCCTGGCCCCAGAACTACAACAACGGCTCCCGCCTGATACTACCTTACAACTTCTTCACAATCGCGCTCTCGCGCAAGACTTCCTCACGATTTATCAGAATTGCGCTCTCGCGTTGTACGTCCTCGCAATGTATTGGGACGCCGCGCCCCCAAAACACAGGAATCACGCTCTCGCTCTGGATTTACAGACGATTTATTTGGATATCGCGCTATCGCTCCCATGTTTTAGGGGGTGCCTAAGTACACGTGTCAGGTAAGGAAGATACACCCCCTTAGGGGGGGAATTATCGAAGGCGAAAAAGGGGGGTATCGAGGAGTTGTGGTATACATGTTGAATGGCACGCGAGCAAATAAGAACCAATCTTACAATCATCCAACTCGCAGTAATTGTTGATCCCCCACTCTGGTGTCCATTGTTTTTTTCAATTGAAGTGCCCCTCCTGGGGCTCGCATCCCGTCTTTTACGATGGAAAATGTTGACCCACAGATTGGCCCCTGGCCCAAAACTACAACAACCACGGCTCCTGATACTTCTGTACAATCTATATGCGCAGAACATCCTCACGATTTCTGCAGGCATCGAACTCTTGCGTCGCACTTCCTCGCCATGGGTTGAGACGCCGCGCCCCCAACACTCAGAAATGATGCTCTCGCTCTGGATGTCCTTGCGATCGCCTTGGGAATCGTGCTATCGCTCGAGACGCCCTCGCGATCCACGCAGGACTGATGATTCAGCGAACCGGTTCTTCAGCTCTTTTCCCAACCATCCTATGGTGGTGGGTCCTCATTTTGAAAAGACAGCGCCCCGCGATCCTCATCTCACCTCCCGCGCCCCGTCCTTGCCTCTGCCCTCCGCATGTCTCTGTTTCGGCACACCCAGCACAGCGCTTCGTAGCCCCATGGGGAGCTTTACCGAAGGCCCCAGTGGCAGGTTTCGCATGGCGCCACAGCACACATTTCGGCACACCCCTCACACGTTTCGTGGCCCCATAGGGAGCTCCACCGAAGGCCCCGGCGGCAGGGTTCGCATGGCGCCAACGCGCTCATCTTGGCACGCTCCTCACACGTTTCGTGGCCCCAGATGGAGCTCCACCGAAGGCACCAGTGGCAAGATTCGCACGGCGCCAACGCAACAATGTCGACATACCCCGCACATGCTGCGAGGCCCCACAAGGAGCTCCACCGAAGGCCCCAGTGGCAGGGTTCGCATGGAGCCACCGCGCAAATTTCGGCACCCCTCACACGTTTCGTGGCCCCATAGGGAGCTCCACCGAAGGCCCCGGCGGCAGGGTTCGCATGGCGCCAACGCGCCCATCTTGGCACGCCCCTCACACGTTTCGTGGCCCCAGATGGAGCTCCACCGAAGGCCCCAGCGGCACGGTTCGCATGTCGCCACCGCGCCCATTTCGGCACACCCCTCACACGCTTCGTGGCCCCACAAGGAGCTCCACCGAAGGCCCCAGCGGCACGGTTCGCATGTCGCCACCGCGCACATTTCAGCACACCTTTTATATGCTTCGTGGCCCCAAAGGGGGCTCCACCGAAGGCCACCGTGGCAAGGCTCGCGCGGCGCCACCGCACCCATTTCGGCACACCCCATCACACGCTCCGTGGCCCCATAAGACTTGGTTCGCCTTTAAAGCGCCCTGGGCGTTTTTTGTGCGTGTTCTACGTTGGGCTCTTGACAGGCTGAAGACGCACGCAACAGACACTAACTTGTTTTACCCTTTTTAGGGCAGTTGTGTTGGCGTGTTTTTTGGTGTCTGTTGTGTTTGCAAGCTGGAAACGCCAAGACCGTGTCTGAACACATTCGAACAACGCATCATTCTCTTAGCGTTTTTATTTGGTATTGAACTCTGAAAACGCTAAACAAATCAGTTCCAAGACGGAGAGCTGAAAACGCAAAAAAAACATCCTGGGCAGATTTAAGGCGAACCAAGCCATAAGGAGCTCCACCGAGGGCCCCAATGGCACGGTTCGCATGGCGCCAACGCACACATTTCGGCACACCCCTCACACGTTTTGTAGCCCCATAGGGACCTCCACCGAAGGCCCCAGTGGCAGGGTTCGCATGGCGCCACCGCGCATACTTCGGCACACCCCTCACACGCCTCGTGGCCCCACAAGGAGCTCCACCGAAGGCCTCAACGGCACGGTTCGCACGGCGCCACTGCACCCATTTCGGTATACCCCTCACGCGTTTCGTGGCCCCGCAGGGAGCTCCGTCGAAGGCAGGGCTCACAACTGCGGTATTCACAATTGCATATGGTTGGGTCCTTCGCCAGGATAATTTGCTTGCTCCGACAACCCCCCCTGCTAATCTCTCTCGTCCTCCATCCTTCTCCGTCCCCCTCGTCCCTTCCCTCCTCCCTCCCTTCCCTTGCTTTAGGCGCTGCGCCAAGCACGCGTGGCAGACCCCCAACGGGGGTACGATCGAAGACGAACAGGGCGGGCATCGAGGGTTCATTCTACATATCGAGTGGCGCGCGAGGACATGAGAAAGAACAGGCGTAAAATCAATGAACCATGATTTTTATTACTCTTGATCCCAAACCCCAATGTCCACCACATTGTTTAATTGAAGTGCCCCTCCCGGGGCTCGCACCCTGTCTTTTACCAAAGAAAATGTTGGGCCTCAGATTGGCCCCCGGCGCCACGACACCAACAATGATGTAAGACTGTTCGCTCCTAACTACTCGCGTGCCACTCAACACGTATATCCCAAATCCTCGGTACCCATCCTCTTCGTCTTCGATCGTACCCCCTCGCGGCTATATCTTCCTTACCTGCCACGTGAATTTTGTGCAGCCCCTAGAACAAGGGAAGAAAGGACGGATGGAAGGGGGATGGAGAAGGATGGGGCACGAGAGAAATCAGCAGGAGGGGGGCAAGGAGCAGAAACCACGTGGTATAAAACCAGACGGGCAGATGGGGCGGGCAGACCCTAGCGGGCGGGGCGGGTCGGGAAGGCGGGCCAGGCGGCCAGATCGAGCAGGCGAGCTGCTGAAACGTGAGCCCTGCATGAATCGCGAGGAAGTCTCGAGCGATAGCGCGAGCGAGAGCGTGATTCGAGCGCGTTTCTATATGTTCGGCGATGACGGGCGTCATGGGGGTGGGGAGGGGGCAGGGTGGTATGACGTAACGCCCCCCCCCGCCGTGTGGCTCCGGCACCACAGCCGC